CATGATAAATGGTTTTCCACCCCCTCACTTTCAATCTGGAGGTGTCTTTGGGTCTAAAATGAGTCTCTTGCAGGCAGCAGATTGATGGGTCTTGTTTTTTTATCCAGTCTGATACCCTGTGTCTTTTGATTGGGGCATTTAGAGTAACTATTGAAAGATATGAATTTAGTGCCTTTTTATTACCTGTAAAGTCACTGTTTCTGTACATTGTCTCTGTTCCTTTCTGGTCTATGTTACTTTTGGGCTCTCTCTTCCCTTAAAGAATCCCTTTTAATATTTCTTGCAGGGCTGGTTTAGTGATCACAAATCCTTTCAGTTTCTGTTTGTTTGCCTTGGAAGCTTTTTCTCTCCATTTTGAATGACAGCCTAGTTGGGTAAAGTACTCTTGGCTCCATTATTTTTCTCATTTAGCACCCTGAATATATCATGCCAGTCCTTTCTGGCCTGCCAGGTCTCTGTGGATAGGTCTGCTGCCAGTCTAATGTTTCTACCCTTGTAGGTTACAAACCTCTTGTCCTGAGTTGCCCTCAGGATTTTCTCTCTGTCTTTGAGATTTGCAAGTTTCACTATTATGTCAGGGTGTTGACCTACTTTTATTGATTTTGAGGGGCGTTCTCTGTGCCTCCTGGACTTGAATGCCCATTTCCTTCCTCACATTAGGGATGTTCTCTGCTATAATTTGCTCCAATATACCTTCTGCCCCCCTCTCTCTTTCCTCTTCTTCTGGGATCCTAATTATTCTACTACTGTTTCGTTTTATGGTATCACTTCTCTCTCGAATTCTGCCCTCGTGATCCAGTAGTTGTTTATCTCTCTTTTTCTCGTTTGGTCTTCTATATCACTATTTCGTTCTTCTACCTCATTTATCCTAGCAATTAGAGCTTCCATTTTTGATTGCATCTCATTCATATCCTTTTTGATTTCAACTTGGTTAGATTTCATTTCTTTTATTTCTCCAGAAAGGGATTCCTGTAGTGTCTTCTATGCTTTTCTCAACCCCAGCTAGTATCTTTATAATTGTTATTCTGAACTCTAGTTCTGACACCTTACTTAATACTGATTAGGTTCCTGGCAGTCAGTACTGCTTCTTGTTCTTTTTTTTGAGGTGAGTTTTTCGTCTTGTCATTCTGTCCAGAGGAGAATAGATGAATGAGAGAACAAAATACTAAAATGGCAACAATGACCCCAGAGAAATATACACTACAAATCAGAAAAGACCCAAAATTGAAAAAAATAAAATAAAAGAGAGAGAATATAATCAGACGTGATCAGAACAGGGCAATATATAGTGGATTCTATATTTTGGTCTGTTTATTAGAAAACTAGATCCCAAAATTGTAAAGGAAGAAAAACTTATATACATACAAAAATAAAATTAAATAGAATGAAAGGATAGAACATAACTATAAGGATGAAAATTTAAAAACCCTTTAACAAAAATAAAAAATCAAGGAAAAGAGAGAATACAATCAGACAGGTGAAGAGAACAGAGCCAGACACTAGATTCTGGGTGTATTTGGGGCTGTTTGTTAGAAGAAACTGCATCCCAAAATTGTAAAGGAAGAAAAACTTATATATATACAAAAATAAAATTAAATATAATGAAAGGATAGACTGTAACTGTAAAAATGAAAATTAAAAAAGATTTAAAAAGAGTTGATAAAATAAGAAACTGGTTGAAAAGGAAAGAGAAAAAAATAAAATTCAAATAAAGAATCATGGGACAAAAACCATGAATTCTATATACTATTTTCCACTAGCGCTGGAGTTTTGCAGTACTGTGTGATCGGTAAACTTGGGTCTTAGCTGGATGTTCTTGCTGGTTTTCTGGGGGGAGGGGCCTGTTGCGCTGATTCTCAGGTGTCTTTGCCCCTGGGCAGAATTGCACTGCCCTTGCCAGAGGGCCAGGCTAAGTAATCTGCTCCGGATTGCTTGCTCACTCTGGCTTTTGTTCCCTGAAGGCTTTCTGCAGCACAGCTTTAGAGAATGAGAATGAAAATGAAAATGGCGGCCTCCCAGTCTCCGGGAGTCAGGGCCCCACTCCTCAGCGCACCCTCAGGGAAAGCAGTCAATCACTCCTGTCTCCAGGGTCTCAGTTCACATTCCGTGCTCACCTAGCCTGTCACCGAGTGTTTCTATCTCAGGCATGCGACCCTGTTTGGAGTCTCCAAACTCAGCAGATTCCTGCAGTGCATACCAGCGCTTCTCCTCTCCAGGGAGAAATGTGGTCTCCCTACAGCTCTGCTGCTTGCTGGGAACCTGCTTGGAGAGCACTCGCCCAACCATGCCACGGTTCACGGTATATGGCAATCCCGAGCTGAGAGCCCACTCCTGGGCTCACTGATTGCAGCCAGCTTCCCCGCTCCAATACCTGGGAGCTCTGCTGCACTCAGGCACCCCTGGTCTTCCTGTGACCCCTAGGGTCCTGAGATCACATTGTCCCAGAGAGGGTTCCACCGCTCCCCCCCCAGCCACTGGAGCGATGTCCCTCAGAGGAGCAGACTTCTAAAAGTTCCGATTTTGTGCTCCGCGGCTCTATCACTTTCCAGTAGTCGGTTTATGGAGGCTCCCTCCCCCCGGGGTTTATCTTCCCATATATCGCCTGGGATCCGCTTCTCCGCACCTCCTACTCTTGCAGAAAGTGGTCGCTTTTCTGTTTGTAGAGTTGAAGCTATTCTTTTCTTACATCTCCAGTTGAGTTCGCTGGTGTTCAGAATGATTTGAGAGCTGGGACCAGATGAAACTAAGTCCTCCACCATCTTGGACTATCTAGTCTAAGCTGTACACAATTTAACTCACAACGGACATAATATAGTTCATGCTGTCATAGGTGATAATTCAGTGACACTGATCATTATGAGCTGGACTAGAAGCTGGACACCCTTAAAGCACCATTTCTAATGTACAGCAGATTCCAGAGCCTACTCACAAGGCATCTGGGAGCAGACCCATCTCTGTGGGAGGAGATGCTGCAAGCCAACATGCTACATGGATGGACTGGTGTCAGCTCGGCTCATCCCACACTGGACTGGGCAGGTGCACTCAGTCTGTCTGGCCAGAACTCTCCCTCAGGGAGATGCTCCAGTTAATCTGAAGTGCTGCTGGGCCCCAGCTGGCCTGCCCAGGTCTGTGCCCTGTACTGGCATGAGGATGCTGTGGGCCCTCGGGCAGCAGTAGGCCTTGTTCTTAGCCTACTAAGAATAAGTAGGCTATTCACACATCAAATACTGTTAATTGCTGGGGAGGGTCCGAATGAATAGGTTTTTCTGTAAAACAATTCACATTTATTAGCAAGAATGCTTACAAATATTAAATGGCCATTTTTAAATTTTCTACTTAAGTTTCAGCATTTTACTTCTTCTTCTTTTTCTTTTTAGAAGGCAGAGGAGGGAGGGGCAGAGAGAGAATCTTAAGCAGACTCCAGGCCCAGTGCGGAGCATGACGTGGGGCTCAATCTCATGACCCTGAGATCATGACCTGAGCCGAAATCAAGAGTCAGACGCTTACCAACTGAGCCACCCAGGTGCCCCTTAGCATTTCACTTCTAACGTTTCTTTGACCCATTCCAGAGGATCGCATTTTGGGTGGTTCTGATTCTGACCATAATGATCACTCTATGGCAATTATAAACCCATGGGACCAAAAGGCGCATTTTAAAAGTCCTGGACGCTGATGTACTTCCAGGAGCCAGCTTACCCCAAACCTGGTGCTCTTGACAAAGGCCCGGGAAGCTCCCAGCCAGAGGAGAGGGACCCTATTCCCAGGGCTCTCCTGCCCCCTGCCAGATGGAGAGCTTGTGCCCACAAACAGATAGCTAAGAACAAGGCCTACTGCTGCCCGAGGGCCCACAGCATCCTCATGCCAGTACAGGGCACAGACCTGGGCAGGCCAGCTGGGGCCCAGCAGCACACAGCCTGGCTGTCGCTAACTTGAGTCTCGCCATTGCTGTCACTCAGTACAACCTTCGTGGGTGACTGCCGTGGGAGCTTTCAGCCTAAGTATCAGCAGCACAAACATCCCTCCTGCAATAGACTGCCCTAACGACTACCCAAGGAAGAGGTCCCTAACAAACCCCTGTCCATGTCTCAAAGCACAGACCACACTAACCAGCAGGAGGGCTGACCAATTCCTACCAGATAGCTCTGAGCAAAACACATCAACCTTCTGACTGAGGACACAAGAGCAAAGTGTCCCATGCACACACACCGGTCAGTAAATGTAAGATTAAATTAAACCAGAAATAACAAAAGCCTAGTCCCAGCATTAACTCCTAGAACAATAATCTCCCTTCCCATTTTATGTTCTCTACCCAGGACTATTAGATATGGCTGAACTTCCTCACAGCCCACACTGGGAACCCACCCACAGCATTTTGTTTAGAAGCATCTCACGTACACAGCAGTTTTCTGCAAGGGCAGAGAGGACGTCATGGCTGCTGAAAGAGAAACCCAGCTACATAAAGGGGCAGTGATGCCAAGCTGCTTCAGAGAGAAGAAAGAAAATGCCACAGAAAAGTTGGTCAATTTTAATTTAGTTGTTCAGAAACACCCACTTGTCCATAGGGAAAAGCAGGAAAACATATTCCAAGGAGACAGAAAGAAGTCACAGAGCTTAAGTCCCATTTAAATTTTGGCTCAAAAAAGTTAGTACAAGAAGACAGCAAACACCACCATTATCAGTGGCTGTAAGCACTGCGCATGGAAGAAATCCAGCTGTTTTCAAGTTCCCTCCTCTGAGAAGAAAGGGTGTATCTCAAATCTGTGCTCGTGATTCTGTGCTCATACTTTTTTCCCCCCTGGAAATAAGGCTCTCTTCCACAAACAGCCTGGTTCACAAAGCTGTCGGTGTTTGAAAACCTCAGAACAGATCTGATGCCATCTCATTGTGCTCCATTAGGATCAAATTTAGCCAAGATATCTGCTTTGGAAATGGAAAGGGGGAGGATAAAAACGGACAAGCGATCATCTTGGACAACACTGGCCACGCCGCTGGTCACTCACCAGACTCCAATGGTCACGTCTTCCTCTGGCTGGAGGTAGTAATTACACGTGTGATTCAAACCTTGATCCTGCGGTTTTTTCAAGTCAATGAAATAGGGAACCCTCACTGTGGGGGACAAAGAAATGGAAACCAGGATTAGTGGGGGCAGATGGACACACACGTGTACACGCACGGAGCAGAGGTGAAGCTCTCAGGGAAGTGCCAAGTCTTTTCCAACCCAAGACTGCCAGGTACACAGGGCCCTTGGCCTCAGGTGCAGGGCTGGGTGAGTGAGCGCTGGAACGCTGTGGGCACGCCTGCACATCCTCTAGCAAGGATGAGTCCGAGTACAGATGGAGCCCCTGATGGTTGTTCAAGGTGAGAAGCCACAAGTGAGGGAAGGAAAGATCCCTGTGGGGCCTGAGGGACATGCCGGCCACGAGAGAGGCTGGAGATGGGGAGACCAGCCAAGCCTGGCTAAGCCACAAGTGAAGGCTGGAACCTGGGTGGTGGTGGGAGGAATAAGGGGAAAGGTGACAGATGGGTGGTGTGTTCTGCAGCCAAGGCCACCAGACTTGGGGACCAAGTGAATGTAGGTGTGAGTCAGTTAAGTGGGGTCCTGAAGTTTCTAGTGCTGTCACTTCATGCAGACATGACAGCAGAAGATGAGGTTTGGGCGCAGGGAATCCACAGAGCCCATCTAGAGTTGAGTGACACCAAATGGAACTGTACAACAGGAGCCCTACATTTAACAGGTCACCTGCCAACAGAGCAGAATTCCATAATGTGCCCACACTATGGAAAATCCAGGGGCCATTAGCTGGAGACCAACTAAGACCCAATGCCATGGGGGAGCGTCCACGAACTATAGGTAGGAAAGCAGAGGAGTGAGATGCCCAGATATGCTGCATAGTCCCACAATGTTACTGTAAAAACAAGCCAATGTATTCCACATCACAACCCACATGCGACTCAGCAAGAAATAAAGGAAGACACGGGTCAGGCTGTTACCAAAGTATGTGTGTGCACACACACGTGCACGCATGCATGCATGGGCAGGTGGGGATATTTAATTTTTCCTTTATATACTGTTGCGCTTTTACTGCTTGTGGTGAACACAATTTTTAAAGCTATATTTAGTCAAAAATTAAAAAACTTAATTTTTTTTTTTTGAAAGAGAGAGCATGCGAGCAGGGTGTAGGGGAGTAGGAGAGGGAGAGAGAGAATCTTAAGCAGGCTCCAAGCCCAGCGTGGAGCCCAGCACAGGGCTCAATCTCATGTCCCTGAGATCATGACCTGAGCTGAAATCAAGAGTCAGATGCTTAAATGGCTGAACCACCCAGGCGCCCCAAAGACTGAAGAACTTAAAAAAACAACAACAAAAAACCCAAAACCTTAAGGTAAGATTTACTCACTTGATCAAATGGCAACTCCCAAAGGGTTAAGGACAAACAGCAGGATGGTCCTGGCCTCTAGCCAATCCCACCTTGTATAAAAGAGTCACACACCTCTGTACAGTTTTCTTTGGTGAAGAGAGTAGCCTCATTACATAACTGCACATACCCACATGGAGCCAAGCCAAACGTGCTCATCTCCCACTACCATCCTGTTCCTGAGCCACAACCTTTGATCTGCCCCCTCGGGGCCTTTGCACTTGCTGACCTCTCTGAGTACTTTCCCGTCACATACCTGCACATTTAGCTCTCACTCCTCCAATGCCCACTGCAGCTCACTATGCATTTGCTGAAGAAATGAAATACCCACTCATGAGGACATAGGGAGGCACACATGCTCCTTCCCCAGAAATTCCCTGAGCATTTCAACCATGCAAGGAGATAAATCCTCTCATGAGGGCTGCCACTTGTACCTTCAGCTTCTTAATCCACCTCTTCACCAAGGAGAAGGCTAAATTTTTTAAACTTTAATTATGACTTTCTCTCAAAAGAAAAAGGGCCATCAAAGGGGGTGGCATCACATGTCCTGGTGCTCCTGCCATGCCGGCCCCATACTGCGCGCGCCCTCCTGCAGCGCCTCCTGCGATGTGCACACCAGCTCTTCCACCTCAGAGCTCTTGTTAGGTCACCAGCTCCCACGGCACAGACCTGGCAGCACCCAGCAGCCTGACTCCACAGCCTGCACTCCTGACTAATCAGACAGGAAGGAAGAAAGTTCAATGGCTCTGATACGAACTGGCCCTCAGGTCCTTTTCAGGATACACTGAAGTCCCAACCCCCAGCCCATCAGAATGTAACCTTATTTGGAAATAGGGTCTTTACAGAGACAATCAAGCTAAAGCAAGGTCATAAGGTGGACTTCAATCCAGTAGACCTGGTGTCCCTATCAAAAGGGAAAACTGGGACACAGACACAGACAAGGACAGAGGAAGACAGTGGAAAGACACCGGGTGGAGTGTGTGATGACAGAGGCAGAGGCTGGAGGGTGCAGCTACAGGTCGAGGGACACCACAGACGCCTGGCCATCACCAGAGGCCTGGAGGAGGCCAGGAAGGACCGTGCCCAGAGTCTCAGAGAGCGTGGCCCTGCTGACACCTCGATTTCAGGCTTCCAGCCTCTAGAAGTGGAAGAGAATAAATTTCTGTTGTTTTAAGTCATCCAGTTTGTGGTATTTATTACACCTGCCCTCAGGGACCAAGGCAGCCATGCTATGGAGGTCATATTTTACTCTGGCAACGGGCCTCAGAGAAGGCTCCTGACCAGACAGAAGGCTGGCAAGGGTCTGTTTCCCGTGCTGTTTCAGATGCAGGCATCTACTCCTGCAATCTCCATTCTGGGACACTGTCTCGTGCTGTGGGAGCTGACAGCTGCAACTTCATGTGCCCGTTCATCATCTCACAGCTGTGAAGTGAAATGACTTCAATAAAACTGAAAACCGGGGCGCCTGGGTGGCTCAGTCGTTAAGCGTCTGCCTTCAGCTCAGGTCATGATCCCAGGGTCCTGGGATAGAGTCCCACATCGGGCTCCCTGCTCCGCGGGAAGCCTGCTTCTCTCTCTCTCCCACTCCCCCTGCTTGTGTTCCCTCTCTTGCTGTGTCTCTCTCTGTCAGATAAATGGATAAAATCTTTCAAAAAAAAAAAAAAAAAAAAACTCTGAAAACCCCAAACCCCGTGCCCACTCTTCAACCCCACACCCAGATTCCCTTAATTCTGCTCCTGAGACTGGAATTACCCACCCCCAGCCCCCATGCCAAACAGAAAGTGGGTGTCATCAAGGGCTGAGGGCACTTGGCTTCCACTGGCTCAGCTCTCAGGCCTCGGTGGGTTCTGGATTGGGGGAGAAGGTAGCCAAGCTACTTCCACACAACCCCACAGCTCCAAGGGAACTCCCTACCTGTGAAAACTGTTTAATGAGGATAAGCAGCTAATCCCAAAAGCTTCCAGGCCTGAGAAATTTAGAAACTGAGAAGCCAGATTCTCCTCCAGGAGGATCTCATTCCACAAAACTTGTCTTCCAGTCCACTTTTATTTCTGTTTTAGAAATAACCATGAAAAAGAAGGCAGTGAACACGCCGAGTCCAGCAGATGCCACCAATGTGCCTTTCTTCCCATGGGGTTCCTCCGGAGAGTGGAGGTTCATGGTCGGTCCAGGGGGGTCAGACAGCTCGAGAGAGGTGTGGCCAGAGGAACCACTGGTAACTACTGGTCTGAGTAAGCAAAATGCCACCAAGGGACAGGATCAAGGGGTGCAGGAGGAGGGTGGCAGGGTATGCCCAGGCCAGAACACACCTCACTCCTGCTGGCCAGAAACAGCTGGGTACCAGGGCCCTCTGACCTCCTGTGTTATCCCTTGGCCCCATGACCCTCGGGAACCTGCTTCATTCACAGGGTTGGAGGAGGGACACAGCACAGGGCCCACAGGGCCCATGGCAAGGGCAGGAGTGAGGAGTCTGGGACAGTGACCCAGCCCCTCACTGCTAGCTATACAAGTTCGGCCTCACATACAGCTTAAGTGCACAACCTGGGAACCCAATACACACATGCTGTGTCCACAGGCTCGCAAGACACATCCAGCTGCTTCAACCCTACCTCTGGCTTCCCTTCCTTCCCATTTTTCATTATTCACCCTCTGGCTGCACTGTCATTTACTGGCAACCACATACCGATGGGCATGATTTAGAGAGGATCCTGCACAAGCGGTGTTCAGTAAATAACCACTGAGGACACGACTGAATGAAAAACAACCTATTCTATCATCCCTTCTTTAGTCCACCTGCAAAATATATGATAGGGTGAGAGGCTACAGCTACTTAGCCATAATGGACACTTTTGACTGCCTGAGGATTTTAAATATTGGGGCTACCTCTCATCCCAGTCACTGAGGCACTAGAAGAGGTGTGGTGCCAACAAGGGGAGGGCAGAGGGCTCTCTGGGTTTTATCAAATTCTAACACTGTGATGGGGGCTGTAGGGGTTTCCATAAAAGGAAAGGGGATAAGAAAGGAAAATAGTAGGGAGGTTCCTCAAAAAATTAAAAATAGAAATACCATATGATCCAATAATTCCACTACTACCCAAAGAAAATGAAAACACTAATTTGAAAGGATACATGCACCCCCAAGTTTACTGCAGCATTATTTACAACAGCTAAGATATGGAAGAAACCCAAGTGTCCATGAATAGATGAATGGATAAGGACAATGTAATACCCCCCCCAACACACACAGACTATTACACAGCCATAAAAAAGGACAATATCTTGCCATTTGTGACAACATGGATGGACCTAGAGGGTATAATGCTAAGTGAAATAAGTCAGGCAGAGAAAGACAAATACCGTATGATTTCACTCATATGTGGAATCTAAAACAAAAACAAAAACAAATGAATAAACAAAAAGCAGAAACAGAGCTGATCTGTTTGTAAACACAGAGAACAAACTGATGATTGCCAGAGGGGAGAGGCATGGGGGGATGAGCAAAATAGGGGAAAAGAAGTGGGAGGTACAGACGTCTAGGTCTGGAATGGGTAAGTCACAGGGATGAAAGGCATGGCATGAGGAATATAGCCAACGATATTGTCATCACATATATGGTAAAAGATGGTGGCTACGCTCATGGTGAGCATAGCCTAATCACTATGTTGTACACCTGAAACTAATGTAATATTATGTGTCAACTACTCAAGTAAAAAAATTTTAAAAGGAAGGAAAGCTATCAAGGGTTAAAAGGGCCTGTAAGAGGAAGGAGAAAGAGGAAGCATAAGGATTATTATCCTGGAGAATGTTGAAGCAGGCTGGCTGGCCTTCTGCTTTAAAAACAAATACATAATTCATATATCTAACCTATTTCCCAAAAAAGGCCCAAGGTAATGTGCAGAGAGGAGCAGTTCTGTGCAGGCCTCTGAACCGAAACATTCCTTCCCACCAAGAGACGGTTCTAGATCCGAGGGCAAAGAACTGCAGAGAAGATATCTAGGCTTTATGACTCAGTAGAAAAAAGGATGAGATCTTGCCATTTGGGACAACGTGGGTAGACCCAGAGGGTATTATGCTAAGTGAAATAAGTCAGACAAAGACAAATACCATAGGACTTCACTTACATGTGGCATCTAAAAAACAAAACAAAGGAACAAGCAAACTGAAACAGACCCACAAATACAGAGAACAAATTGGTGGTTGCCAGAGGGGAAGGAGGAGTGGAGATGGGCAAAATAAGGGAAGGAGGTGAAAAGGTACAAACTTCCAGTTAAATACACACATGGAGATGAGACATACAGCATAGGGAATACAGTCAACACTATTGTAGTAAGTCAGTATGCTGACAGATGGTGACTATACTTACTGTGACGATCGCTGAGTAATGCATACAATTGTCAAACCTCTGTGTTGTACCCCTGACATTAGCATCCTACTGTATACCAACTATACTTCAATCTAGTCATCTAGACTTCAAGACCACAAAATACTGCGTATCACCCACCATCACTGACACTGGAATCAGACTTTTGAACCTGAGTAGTGAAAAGCACACATACTCATGTTTATGTGTAGAGACTCAGACAAAAGAGACCTACAGGAAACAGACAGATAAGCAACAACATTAACAATTTCCTCAGAATGATTTTCATTTTCTTCTTCACTGCCATTCAGGGCTTTTCAGTTAATCTTCTGGTTTTGGAATGCTCATGTAGTTTTTGCTTACGAAAATATATTTAAAGTAGAATAATGATTCAAATCATGGGGCTATGTTTTTTCTATAGCTTATTTCTCTGATTTATGAATGTGATTTCAGATAGATTTGGTGTGAACTTAAGAATATATTCTGTGATTATGTTCTGAGACCCAAAAGACTGTTTAGACTTCCTTTAGAGTCCAGATGGAATTCACAGGATCATGATTCACATTTTGAGGAGACAAAAATGGAGGTGATACCCCAACACACTGGCCCTCCAGCACCATGGGCTGAAACTGCCAAATCACTGCAGGCCAGCCCTGGAGACCCCCATTCTCCCACAGGGGAGGCAGCACAGACAGCTAACCAATCTCCTTTACAATCCCTGCAGGAGGCGATCCCACTGCCACACAGTGGACATGGGGAAGGAAAGGGTAAGCAACTGGCATCTCCTTGTGGAGGTGGACTAGGAGAACCCAAAGTTCTGCTCCTGTGGAACATCCTACCATTTCATTAGGAAACCAACCGAGCAACATTTGTGGGCTGTGTTTAAAGTAGCCCAAATAATTGATCTGAAGAAAAGCAAGTCAATTCAAATATTTGCTGGGACCCCACCATGTGGCAAAGGCACCTGCTCAAGGCACCTGGAGGCCTATAGAGTAGGAAAAGCCATTCAGAGTCCATCCTAAAGTCTGCCATCAGGGTATCTGCAACCCAGTAGCTTCGTGTTTATATGTAAACCCAAACTCTCTTCTGTGGTGGACCGACTGTGGACATTTAAGGGTTAAAGTCAGAAAATCAAAACTCCCTTTATTTTAGTATGTTGTTAGTTCCTTTTAAGTTTGTGCCTCTCACACTGGCAAAAACATAGAGAGGATAAATTCCTCAAAGTTCAGCTATATTTCCATTAGAAAAATCAAATGCCTCTTGGTATACTACATGTATTTTATACTTATTTTAAGACACCAAATTAAAAAAACTTACTTTGGATTTACAAAGTAGTGAACACTGACCTTACTGTTTCTCTTCCTCCTCCTTACTGTTCCTCTTGAGAGCAGAAATGCTCCTTTTAGCCAGTGACTTCCAAGTTTCTGTGATTAAGTCCACTGTAGACTTCATAAACCCGAACTCGTATGGCCAGGCACCTACAGAGCCTGGAGCACTGCGTTACTACAGAAGAGGGTTCTGGAACCCTGACATGCCTGGCCCCAGTGCCACCCCCTGCTTGTCCGAGGCCACAGTCACACGTGAGCGATCTCAACACCTCCTGTCTGTCCTCTCCTCATCTTCATGCTCTTCCTCCTCCTTCTTTCTCTACCAGCAACCCTGCTGCCTCTTCTCAGGGCATCAGCCCCAACTTTCAAACCTCTCCTCCCAAATACACAAGGTCCAAGCCCACTCTTTGCAAACCAACAGCTAAGAGCATGCACAGAGCCCACCTCGACTGGTTCAGATGCTACGCATACCTGCACACTCAAGCTGAAGGCCACTGCTTATGGAGTACCTGCTGTGCGCCAAGCACCACGTTCTACCTTCAAACCCTAACACTCGCAGACCCAGCCTCTTCCCTCCTAGCCTCATCTTGTAGGTGTAAAATGATGCTCCTTAAGAGGATTATTCCCAGCAATCATGTACCTGGGAGCCCTCTGCCTTCTATTTCCTAAGCTTGAGACTTCTGGACCTTTCTCTTCCTACTTGCACAAAAGTAAATACACAGCATGGAAAAAAAAAAAAAAAACACCTTTGGAACACACAAGGTCTAAGTTAACTCAGGGAGACTACAACACCTATAGAGCCAGCATATAATTCCACAGAAACCAAAGCATGTCAGGTTGATTTTTTTTTTATTTTTAAAGAAAAAAGTCCTAATTATTTTTGTTTAAGGTGGTCACCTTTTAGTGGTTATCTTTTCCAAGTACAGTAAGCCTCCTAGATGGCACAAGGGCAGAGCACCTCCAACACAACACCATTAACATCCTCACCCACTGCCTCTAAAGCAGGACCCCCAGCCAAGCAGGGGTTACCTGTGCACACAACTATTAGCCGTGGAGAGCAATGCAGTCACTGTAGCAGCCTGTAACTGGGAAGGGGCACTGGGAACTTTCTCAGTAATAGAAATGTTCTATTTCTTTTCTTAAATTTTTTTTTTAAGATTTTATTTATTAATTTGACAGAGAGAGCACAAGTAGGCAGAGCAGCAGGCAGAGGGAGAGGGAGAAGCAGGCTCCCCGCTGAGCCAGGAGCCCGACGTGGGGCTCGATCCCAGGACCCTGGAATCATGACCTGAGCTGAAGGCAGTCGCTTAACCAACTGAGCCAACCAGGCGCCCCAGAAATGTTCTATTTCTTGATCTGGGTGGTAGATATAAAAATATATAAATCATCATGCAAATGAATTCTTACTAAAATTCAAGGCAAAATGGGCACGTGGTACTTACCAAAATTCAAGAAAATCAGTTTGGCCTGTATCCCAGGACATAGTTTGATGAGAAATGGAATGGCAACATACAACCCCAAAACACAGAGAAGTATCTTCCTCAGTCGGAACCACAGGCCCTTTCGCCTGCAAGAGAAGAGCAATTAACAGGTCAAAGACTGGAAGTGCAATTTTGCTCCCGTTTATTAACAGCATTATCAAAATCACTAACCAAAATCTACATGTCGCTTTCCCCACAATAACTGTGCCAGTAATAAGACTAGCATCCCACCCGCTTTTGTTAAAAAATTACTTTAGACAGTCTTTCAATCTGAGCTTAGAACTTTACTGCACGGAAAGGGGGAGGGTACAGTTTCTCCTGAGAGCCAGCGGACCATGCTGAGGATTTCCCGTGCTTGCCCTGGAGTCAGAACACAGCACAGACGTCAGTCAGCTCCCCAGCAAGTGCCCAACCTGAAGTCAGACAGCAGCGGCAGCTTCATCCGGGGAAAGTGGCTGGCTCTAGGCCGCATGGTCGCTGTCCTGCAAGCCAGCCACAGGCATGGGCTGGCTCCTTGTAGGAAGCTGAAATATCAACAGAACCTGCCCAGCCAGGTTCTGACAGTGAGACTGCAGCCGACACGGCCTGTCCTTGCATCCCAGCCCACACTCCATCCGGCACCACCGGATGGAGGCCCCTTCTCCAGGCAACGTAGGCCAGGGTTCCGGACCCTCTTCTAAGCCCACGCAGCTCCAAGACTTCCTTATCTTATTCCTGATGCCTTTTCAAAAATGTCCCTAGTCCAGAGATTCTAAACTCCCTGGACTAAGGGTTTCTCTATAACTAGAAAACTGAAGCCCCCAAAGAGCTTCTGTTTACACGGTTTATATTTATCACTATTTGTCATGTGAGAAGTTAAAATACAATTTAAAAATATTTATTCATGCATCTAATAATAACAAGAAAGCCATTAAATGTTAATATAATTAACATTTGTTATTTAAAAAGTGATTATATTTTCCAACACAAAAACTTTTAGTGAGGAGAGCAGCATTAACATTTTTACAAATTTCTTTAAGCTAGATAGCTTAATAAAAGACAGACAGATTCTCCTATCTTTCTGCATCCAATCTGTTGCGATACCACACATCAGGCAGCATCTGGAAAACTCTGAAACAATGAGTAAAAAAGGCAAATAATATCTTTGGGTTATTATGAAAATCATTTCAACCTTGTGGACACTCTGAAAGGATCTTGGGGAGGACCCTTGGAAACCGCTGCTCTAACTTATGAACCAAGTCTAAACCTGAGTGGGGCTAAGTATTTACTTCTGGACTGTTTCCAAAATAACTATTTAAAGTGTTTTTAAACATATACCTGGACCTGCTGACACATGCAATAATATGGATGCATCTCAAAAGCATTCTGCTAAATAAGACAGACACAAAAGACTACATACTGTATGATTCCATTTATCTAAAATTCTAGAAGAGACAAAACTATAGGGACATACAAACAGAACAGTGGTGGCTGGGGATGGAGGAAGATTGCAAGGGGCACACAGGGAACTTTTAGAGTAATCAAAATAATTTTATCTTGATTGTAGTTACACATTTGTATGCGTAAATAATACCTCAGCAAAGCTGATGACAAACATGCATATCTGACAGTATAACTCATTCACTCATTCACCTGGTTTACTCAGTGCTAGCACTCTTTGGGCAGCAGACACTAAGGGAAGCAAAGGAAGGCCTCTGCATCCATGCTGTGCTCAGCTCAGTGGGGCAGACACAGAGCTCTGAGAGAAGCACGTGGTGCAGGGTAATCTGACCCAGTCTGGGCTGCCAGGGAAGGGGCCACTGGGAGGAACACTAAGTTAGGAATATAGGAGTTAACTAGATGATGTAGAAGAATAGTTTAAAATGGCATCTTAAATTCCATGCACAATCTGCCCTTCCAGTGATGAAGGGTATTACAACATTGTGGTTAAAGGTGCTGGCTCTGAAGTCAGATGGTCTAGTCTAACTTCTAACCCACCACTTACTAGCTGTGCAATCCTGGATAAATTACTTAATCTCTCTGAGCTGTGGTTTCTTCCCTGCACCGAGGGCATAAAAGTGGTGCCTCCTTTGTGGGGCTCCTGGAAGGATTATACACAATAATGCACATAGAGTACACATATGAGTTCCGGGTCCACAATATATCTAAGCTGTCATCACCATCTTCTTACTCTCATTAAGGGAAAGAGCAGGGACTGGGCATAGTAATGGGCCTGAAAGGGAAGGGCACAATGTGAGAGGTCCGAAGAGGCCAAGAAGAATTCAGGACTCCATTCTGAGAGAAAATGGAGAGCCCATAAAAAAGAAAATAGCCTGCAATCAAATGCACAACCATCAAATGCCAGATGCAAAGTTCATGCTTAGGTCCTCTGCTTTGGCCACATTGGCCATTCTTACGTCCCTTGCACAATTTGGCCATTCACCCTCTAGAGCCTGCATAAATCTGGCCATTATAAAGTGTTCACGCAGCTTGTAATTTTATGTCCTCAGAGCAAGGAAAGCATATGTCCACACAAAGACTTGATCAAAAACACTCACGGGGGGCACCTGGATGGCTGGGTCAGTGGAGCATCTGACTCTTGGTTTTGGCTCAGATCCTAACCTCGGCGGTCATAGGATTGAGCCCCACATCGGGCTCTGTGCTCAGTGTGGAGTCTGCTTGGGGTTCTTTCTCTCCCTCTCCCTCTGCCCCTCCCTCCGCTAGTGCTCATGCTCTCAAATAAATAAAAAAAAACAGAAACAAAACAAAAAAAAAAACCACTCATGAAAGTTTTATTCAAAATAGCCATTGAGGGGCTCCTGGGTGGCTCAGATGGTTAAGCGTCTGCCTTCAGCTCAGGTCATGATCCCAGGGTCCTGGGATCGAGCCTTGCATCGGGCTCCCTGCTCGGTGGGAAGCCTGCTTCTCCTTCTCCCTCTCCCACTCTCCCTGCTTGTGTTCCCTCTCTTGCTGTGTCTCTGTCAAATAAATAAAATCTTAAAAAAAAAATAGCCACCGAGATAATACAAATGTCTATCAACAGGTGAATGGATAAGCAAACCATGATTTGTCCTTAGAACGGAATAGTACACAGCAAGAAAAAGGAGCCAGCTATGGATACATACAACCATGTGGATGAACCTCAAAATAACTATGCTGAGTGAGGGGTGCCTGGCTGGCTCAGTAAGAGGAGCATGTAACTCTTGATCTCGGGGTCATGAGTTTGAGCCCCACACTGGAGGGAGAGATTACATTAAAAAATAAAATTAAATTAAAAAAAAATTTTAAAAACCTATGCCGAGTGAAAGAAGACCAATAAGATGGCCAGGACAGCAACAGACTTCTACTCTGATATATCATTTCACCTAAAAAGTGTTCCTGTTCATTAGTAAAACCAGCATTGTTTTTTCTGTGCTGTTTCAGGGTTCTGCTTCCTCCACAGACAGTGGCTTTTCATCTTCCTCATATTTCAAAATAGTTTATATAAGATAGGAACTGTCTGTTCCTTATAAAGTTAAAAGAATTTATCAAGAAAAAACAAGAGAGAAGGAGAATATAAACAACGTCTGGAAAAATGTATCATTTTAATTTCTTCTTTTTTTTTTATTTTTAAAGATTTTATCTATTTGACAGAGAGACACACAGTGAGAGAGGGAACACAAGCAGGGGGAGTGGGAGAGGGAGAAGCAGGCTTCCCGCCGAGCAGAGAGCCCAATGCGGGGCTCAATCCCAGGACCCTGGGATCATGACCTGAGCCGAAGGCAGACACTTAACGACTGAGCCACCCAGGCGCCCCTTTAATTTCTTCTTAATTATTACCTACTTCTTGTGATAATTTTGTTCATTTTCTCAGAAATTCCTTTAGTTGCAAACCTCCACTTATTGCTGGTAGTACTGCTATTAATGTAGTTACTCCTTGTTAGAAGATTCCCTGTTCTTGATTACTAATAAGAATGAACATTTCCCACACAGCTGAGGAAAGTGTCACCTCCATTTATTACCTGCATGTGACCTGGAATAATCATGGAGGCCCACCTTTCTCTCCAGTGCACATGCAGAGGAACAACTTTTGCGATAGGCTGTACAATGATTCAGTGTGCTTGTCTTTAAAGGTTACTCATATTATCAGTACCATAAACAGATACCCAGAATCACTTGTCAAGAAATAGAAAGGAACTGTAAAAATAAATACAATGAATGGATTTAGGATACAGCCCAACAGTTGTGTTCTTGGGCATTTATTCCAGAGAAATGAAGACTTATTTCATGCAGAAACTTGAACATGAATGTCTACAGCAGCTCTATTCATAATAGCTCCAACTCAGATGCCTTTCAAGAGGTGAGTGGATAAACAAATTGTCCATACTGGCCATGGAACACTACTCAGCAATAAAAAAGAACAAACTATTGATTGTGCAACAACTTGGATGAACCTGGGAAATATATTGGGTTTAAAAAGTCAGTCAATCCCAAAAAGTCACATGTTATGTAAGTCCATCTATAAAAATGTTCTTGAAGTGACAAAGTGATAGAGATGGAGACGAGATTAGTGGTTGCCCTGGTTTAGGGATGGGAGGGCGGGGATAGGGGTGGCAATAAAGGGGTAGCATGAAAGAGCCTGGTAGGGATGGTACAGGTGAGCACCTTTATGTGATAGTGGTTCCATGAAGCTACCCATGTAATGAGATTGCACAGCGTTACACACACACACACACATACACACACACACACAATGAGTGTATTTTTAACTGGTGGAATCTGAATAAGCTCTATGGATTGCATCAATGTCAATCTCCTAGGGCTGATTTAGTACTATAGTTGTGTTAGATGCTACCTCAAACTGAAGGAGGTTGGGGGATGGGAACACTGGACATTACTGTATATTTCTGTGCAATTCCTAGGAATCGATAATTAACAAAACAAAAACAAAATAATGGAAAAAAAGTCAGTCACAAACTCTAAAAAATAGCAAGTAAAATATAAATAATCATTAATAAATCTGACCAATTTGCTGGATTTCATGTTCTCTCAATCTGTCCAAGTAAATATTAGCCCCATTTTCACAGAGCACACAGCAAGTTCCAAGGAGCTGAGTAACTTACTCCCA